CTCCTCCTCCAACCCTTCCTCCTCCTCCTCGCCCTCCTCGCCCTCCTCGCCCTCCTCGCCCTCCTCGCCCTCCTCCTCCTCTAACCCGTCCACCTCCTTCTCATCCTCCTGGCCTTCTCCCTCCAAGCCTTCCACCTCCTCTATCCCCCCCTCGTCCCCTTCCAAGGAGCGCCTTTTGAATCGCCTGTTGTGGTTGCCTCCGGTCGATGCAGACGCCCGGTCCTTGGTAGTAGACACGTGGCCCTCGAGGAAAGGCTGGTACGGTCCAACGTTCGTTCGTCGTGGTGTAGGTGGAACAAGACCATGGGGGGGACAACAAATGGCGTGCAAGATTCATTGGGTTGGCGCGAGACACAGGTAGGGACGAGGAGGTTATGGAGGTCATGGGTAGAAGGCAGAACGTGGCGAGATTTGAAGAAAACAACAACAACAGTATCGACAAAATAGCTGTGCATCCGAAGCATGAATCAAAAACGATTGTTCACGAGTACTTTTGATTTGTGACCCATGATGTTCATGGGAGACCCGGAGAATATCGCAGAAGGGAGAACCTCACCCGGCCACAGAATGCTTTGTCTTTGTAGGGTACAAACGCATCTGAACAGTGTCCAAGGGTATTAACGCGGACACACGCACCGACAGCACCGGGGTACGGAAGCTCCAAACGGCGACGAACCACTCGATGTACAGAAAAAATAGGTCGAGGGGAGTGAGTACAAGTGCCAAATAAGGTACAAAGGGGAGGACTCCCTCGAAGGAGACAGTGAGCGAAAACGGCAGAAACAAAACACACACAAGTAGACTGTTGCATGTAATCCGACGTTGTCGCACGGCCAGAAGAAATGCTAGAGGTACGCCGTCATGTTTCGTCACATGTGGTTGAGGGATTTGGCGAGGCAACGAGTTGAAAGCGCGGGGACATAGGCCAAATTTACGGCACAAGAAGATGTTTCTTCGTTTTTCTTAGTTCACGGAAGCAGTGCTAAAACCTTGCTTCTTACGCGCCAGACGTCGACATAGCATGCGCAACAACAGTAGCGGCCTTAACGCCAAAGCCACACAGCATTGCCATATTTCCGACGGGCAACGCCGTCAGCGTTCCGCTTCAAGCATTCCCGCCCCATTCAAGAACGACGTTGCGCCTGAACGTCAGTAACCGAAAAGAAACTAGTCTTCGAACACCGCGTCTTAGACATCGTTCAATTTTTCGCCCGCGCGGTTTCACAAAGAAGCCAGGCCTGGCTCTGCGGACACGCGTTCCTTCCGGTTCCAAATGATCTAACCGGTGTCACACGCATGCCATGTATTCCGTGTGCATGTCCAACGGACTCACTTTTCCAGGTCTCCGGTAATTTCCCTCTGAGGGGAAGTCGGTCTCGTAGACGTCGTAGCACCTCTCGATGCCCGTGATTGAACCCCCCGGCGGGTGCCAGCAGTCCACCAGGGTAAAGTAGGACGTTCCGTCCTCTCTTACAGCCTGCTCTGAGCGAGAAACCAGTGGGTAGAAAACGAGAGGTGACGTGGTGGAAGGAAAAATGCATTCTACCAAATGCACTCAAAGCCCCACAGAAGTTGGACAACCCAGTACAGAGAAAAGGTCGAAAAGTCTTTCCGGAGGTGTCTCAGATGAAACAATCCAGGTTCAGAGGCTCCTCGAAACATGAAAGGACATGGGAGGACATGAGAGAGAGAGATAGAGAGAGAATTGAATTACCCCTAAAAGCGCTAGGTCATCCGACCCACCGATGTCGACAAAACCGGCAGAAAAGCTCAGAGCCTCTGTCAACCAACCAAAGTGTCACCTTTGGGCACGTGCGACGCACGATATGGTATCTCGGGTGTTGCCCTTCCTTGAGCACAATGTAGCTTTATCCACTGCGTCTTGCCCTACCAACTCGATGTGCACAATTTCCACCAACACACGCACCAGCTTGTTGTTTCTGGGCCCCCCGCGCGGCATCCATTCAGGGTGCCAGCCCAACATACCAACCAGAGAGTCCCCCTGCTGGTTGGACATAGAGTCCCCCAGAAAGATGACTCGTCGCCCTCGTAAGCACTATTAAATATTAATAGCGGCACCAACAAAAGGTACAAAGAGGGAGAAGCATGGACAAGGGGAAAGGTTGTGGCACCTGGGGTTGGGGGAGAAGCTGTGTTTTGCAGATGTTTGGCAGGTAGCGACACATACTGTACAGGTGTCCGCGGAGAAATCTGTATGACGAAGACGAACCTCATGAGAGCAAGAACCAAAGGCAATGGCGCAGAAGACTAGGACGTGGAGGCGGGAAGGGGTTGAGGTACATGGAGCAAGAGCTGTCGCCCGCAGCTTGCTCATAGTTTGTTCAAATTCATCCATCATTTCTACCTTCAAGCGCAAACCTTTACCTACCCTGGGCAAAACACTTCTCTCCCGCCCAAGCCACTACACTGGCAGTCTCTCTTGCCCGCACGAACGCGCGCTGTGTCGCGGTTACATCCGTTTTTCGCAACCTACCGAAACCTTCACGTCAACATCTGGAAGCCCAAATATCATTATCTGGGAACCAAAATATCAAGTGGATTTTCTGTTATCCGGCAGCACTACTTCCACGTTTTCGTGATCGACGGACACCGACCGCAATAGCCCACCTCTCGGACGTCGGCGGGGTAGAAAAACCGCTTGGCCAAGCAGGGAGAGTCGAAGTAGTAGTTGGCCGCCATGAAAGATGCTGCCAGGTCGTTCCCGTTGCGGCGGATTAGTCTACAAGCTATGTAGAAGTACACATAAGGATAACGACGGCTGGAGGATGTGGAGAGATTGTGGTCCGCGCGGCGGTGTGTGTAAGTACGCATCTAGCTGACGCTAAGGGGGGGGGGAGGATATCAGAAGTATTCACGGACGCGTGGGTGAGCGCTCATGTGCTTATCCTACTGTGCTTGGAGGCCTCGTTTTACCAAATTCGTTTCGTGAGATGGCGTTCATAAGATTTGCGGGATGACAATGGCGTGTGGAGGCGACTCAAGTTACCAGGAGCGTGGGAAACAAATGGATACCGGTATAGGGGTATGGAGCGCGGGAATATGAGCAAGCTTCGAAGCAGGCAAGGTACACGGCAGGGTATACATCATGAAGTGAGATCGTTCTGATGGGCGAACGAACGACATAGAACGCGAGGCTCGGGAATGGCGCAAAGCGCGTTCAGTAAGCTACACAGATGATACAACAACGTGGATAACAACAAGTGCGCTCCGTTCTCTGCTCTTTCACCGCGGGAGGAGGTGTAGGCTCTTTGACTCCAGTACCTCAGCTGCTGATTCCGCCGATCGTCTTTGACTTCAACCGGGGGTGACATCATGTTCGTCTTGAGAAATCATACCCAGGCGGAGATTTCAAGGACAGGGAGGGAATTGGGTTCTTCGAAACCCGGGTGGCTAATAACTTACAGTAGCTGCTGTTGTGCCGATCAAAGGTAGCACCAACAACGCATCTCGCGTTCAGGCATGGGTCCGTGGAGACAGGGCTCATTGCAGCAAAAACAAGTAAACAACAGCCCAGCTTGCGTGATTTCGGGTTGATACTCTGTGCCCATCGTGTCCCTTGCTAAGTCCTGTATCGAGTAGCTCGATGTCGTCAACACCCGTTTCATTTGCTTTTCAAGAGAGATAGGGAGAAGGAGGTAACGGATACACGTCAGAGTAAAGCTAATTGTACAGACCAAAGCAATATTATCAGCGACATCAACAATCCGGTGCCCAATATAAGGAGACACACGGCTCAAGAACTCTCTGCCTGTCTGCCTGTCTCTCTCTCTCTCTCGGTCTCTCTCTTTCTGCCTGTGTGTCTGTTCCTCTCTCTGTATGCACGTGTGGCTTCTCGCTCACCATCTTCACTGGTGGCGCACGTGTACCCCCGTTCGTATTCGGCGCGCATCCTCATGGCCGGAATGGCTTCCGTCGCTTCCTTCCACTCGTCCTGCGGCGAGATGGAGCACTCCTTCCACCCCCAGGCCGTCGGGCTAGCCACCGTCAGCAAGGTCAACACCAGCACGAGCTCGGTTCTGGCGCGAGAGAGAAGAAGGCGCGCCGCCCACCCTCGAACCTTCCGTATCTACAGATGATACGGCATGGTTGGGACACATGGTCAACTCGAGGTGGCTGGTTTGTGCGTTTCGCGCTTGCCATTCGCTGCCTGGCATGAACGCTTCAATCCGTTCCTACTCCCGGAGCGATTGACCTTGTGTGTTTTGTCCAAGATAGAAAGTAAAGCTTTCTGTTCAGCGCTTCTCTGCGCGACGGGATTGGTGGTGGCGCCTTGAGATACCAGTTTCTGGAGTGGAGTGCGACAACGTCGGCGGTTGGATATCACATTCGTCCTGCTTGTCAACGTCCACAATCCTTTCGGCCATAATTTTGTATTGTACGCTATACTTGCGTTTGAAGGACTGCTAAGACCTGGACTATCAAAGCCGCTTCGAAAATTCATTGACATGATTTTCATGTGTTTTCATGTGGAGATTTATTGCAACGTCCCCACAGTAGTTCAATCGCGATGAGGGCGCGTGTCCGCGACGAGCCCCGCCAGGGCTCGTCCACCCCAGGTAAACAAAGTACTACACTCAAAGCGTGAAGTTCGTTTTTTGTTTCGTGGTGAGATTGGGCGGTGCTGGGGCATCCTGCGTACGCAGCAGCGGGAAGCAGCTGAGGAAGGGGAACAGGAGAGCCTCAAACGGAATAAAATACATCTACGCACCCCGCGCGATATCAACGATAAAAATCCTGTTTAGGACGTGAATTTCCGTGCGTCCGCAACCTAGCGGTACTCCGGGCCACGTGTCGAACTGTAGGTAGTGATGCGGCAGGTACCATTTGGGGCGCCATTCCTTTGATTTATGTAATGTACCGTCGAGATGTGCGCGTAGAAGTGATCAAGAGTTTTCTTATAGGTATTCCGTACAACATCGAATGCACTCACTCACTCAAACAAGGACACAGCACACATCCCGCACCTCCAACCAACCGAACAAGAAGGAGTCGAAAACGGTACTACCATGCCCCTGGGGGCAAACAACGACAGAGGGGAGCATCAGCCAACAAATGGGGCCTTGCGACCAAGAAAGAGGTCGTTGGAAGAAAAACCTTACCGTTCCGTACACCTTTCCCAGGAGGGAACCACAGCGTCTGTTGCCTTTGGCACATGCTACCCCAAACTCGCATCAGCAGCTTCACGCACGATCACGGTACTTTTTCCAGAAACGTCTATGTTCGTTTCTTGAGTATCACACCTCTATCGGTGTCATCGCACCGGGGTGCGTTCACTCAACACCGAAAATGGCCAGTGTGACTTCTTCCGTATCGCAACCATCGGTGTCATCGCTCCGGGGGTGGGCGCGTTGGATTTTTGTTTCCGCACGGGTATCGGTGTTACGGCACCCATCGGTGATGTAGGCACCGATCGGTGTTGTGGCACACCGGGGTGAGATAAAAAACCAAGATAGGAATGTTTCAAAAACGATCGCACCCCGGTGCCATAACACGCATAATGACGGTATCGTCCGTCCAACCCGGCAAAGAGAGAGCGAGAGAGAGAGAATGAATGAGGTTTGCCTCAGCGCCTCATCACGAAAGAAACCACGCACATACAAGATTGAAATTCCACACGAAAGGTCACCTCTGCCAAGAGTCAGAACCACAAAGACACCCCCGAAAAACTCCAAGAGGCCCAGCAATGTGGAGACAAATGCCGACACTCTCGTTGACCGCAACAGACATCCGTAGCTCCGGTGTGACACCTCCAAGGGGTGGAATCACTCGCAGTTTTTGGGTCTCCCAAGTCTATGGACTGCTTGCAGTTACAGTAGGCTGGGCGGAGACAACCCTATGAGATAGGCCACGTAGCAGTTATGTCTGTCTCCGCGCGGCCTTAGTTGCGCTATATCGCTGCCCTGCGGACACATCCTTTTCTTGCGGTCTGCCAGATGAGACTACAGGCCATTTGCTCTGATCTCCACCACGGCAGTAGTCAGAGTTATGTGTGTACCCATCATCGCCCGCCCAAGTCCATGCTGGTCCTCCGAAACATGCTACATATACATTCAACACCAAGTTAGTACGTGGTTTGTACCGCCGCACTTGTTGGCCCTTGTGTCTAAAATTGCAAGTTGCCACATGCCATACCGCCTCCTCCTCCACCACTGACTATCGAAGCCGCGGGACAGAAATACGCCCAGACGACCGAGTTCCGGTACCTCGGTGGCCTCGTCAACGAACATGGCGACCTCACCTGGGAGATCAGCTACAGGAGCAGAGGAGCGTGGGCGTGCCTCAGGCGATATGGCCAGGAGCTCTTCGACAGACCGAAAGCGCCATTCCGACTCAAGATCCGCCTCCTCCAGGCGGAGGCGATGGAGGCACTGCTGTACGGCTGCATGACATGGTCACCACTCAGCGGCCACTATCAGACGCTGCGGTCGACACACCACCGACTGCTCCTTCGAGTTATCGGGTACAAGCGCAAGAAAGACACCAACAGGCAGCTCTCGTACGCCCAGACGCTGAAGAGGGTCGAATGCCAGAGCGTTGAAGCCACGATCCGACAACGACGCCTACTGTTCGCGGGAGCATTGGCAAGGCAGCCGGACGGGCGACTCCCGAAACGACTGATGCTCGGCGAGCTGGCGGGGGGGGAGAAGCCACGTAGGGGGGGACAGGAACAGAACTGGCCGAAGTGTGTGCTCGACGACCTGAAGGCCTTCGGGGCCGACCACGGATCTACGAAAACCGACCCAAGTTGTCTCGGAATTCCCGTACCGAAAGACACGGCACCGAAGTCAAGGTGGACGGAAGCCGCGAAGGTGGAGGGGGGAGTACCCTGGCATGCGGCGGTGCTGCAGGGAGCTGAGAGGTTCATGACCTCCTGGCACGAGAAGGAAGAAGAGGCCAGCCGACAACGAGCGCTCAAACGAAACCACAAGCCAACAACCAATGGGGCGGGAGGGGGGCAGGAGACGGACGAGACGGCGAGGGAAGAAAGCAAACGAGAAGAGACGGACCGAGTGGCACGACACGTGCCGGATTGAATTTCTTTTCGCCAATTCCCCCCCCCCCAACGCTGCACCATTGCACCAACCCCCCAGTAGTAGTGATTTCGTACCACTACAATGTATCGCTGGTTGGTGGCCATGTTTGCGTGTTTGCTTGTTCGTTAGTGGTCTCTCCACCGTGTGCCTTGTTCTGCCTCATACTTCCTGTTATTTTCGGCCTGGTCCCTCTTTGTCCTCGCCCTTTTTTTTATTTTTTCATTTTATTTTCATTTATTTTCTCTTCTCCTTAGGCCACTTGTTAAGCTGTCCTTTTTTGGGCTGTCCCTTTTCTCAAAAAGGGACAACTGACCAAGAACCACTTGTTACGTGGTCTTTTTTTGCATTTTTGAACCTCCCGAAAAGGGACAGCGAAAAAAGATCGCCCCATCCTGTCCCTTTTTGGGCAACTTTGTGACAGGATGGGACGGTCCTGTCCTTTTTTGTTGTCCTTTTTCTGTCACAACACATGACACTTGCCCACAAACTTGAATATCTCGACAGATGATCCCCGCAAACTCTAACGGTATTCGCACGAGTCGTGTCATGTGACTGGTACGGAGTCAGTAGCCTCGGCGATAGACGTAATGTTGTCATTCGGCTGACCAGGTGGACAACCCGATGTGTGCGGCAAACAAGCGGCAA